AAAATTGCAGGCAAATGCTGTACATTCAGAGAGATTCCTACCGATAAAACTGAGCCCATGGAAGCATGAAATTTCATTTTATAGGCATATGTGAAGCTATACTGGGGTCACTTCCTTCTCAGTGGAGAGACCACCTATTGTCCAATGACACTACCTGAGGAGATAATGGCAATTAATACGAAACCTGGTTAGTTTTCAGCAAATTTTACCAGTTTTGATGAAGCCAGTATCACTCGGAAAAGGAAGTTTTGTAGCCCTATCAGTTGTCATTTTTTTAAAGAACATTTCCCTTCCTGAAGTCTGGGAGTCCATGTGCTCACAGGAGTGGCAAAGCTGTCTCTCTGTTCTGGAGGAATGAAGCTCACCCTGAAGGTGCAGTTTAGATCCCAGCTTCTGAACTCTGCCAGTGGTAGCTGGAATGCTGCTGAGGCAAATGTTCTGGCGAGTGTGTGGGTGAGCCCATCATCTTCCTGCTACCACTCCTTCTGTAACCAGTGTGTGCTCCTCTTTTTTGCCTAATTTGTAGTCTCCTCACCTCAGGTTTGTTTATACTGAACAAGTAGATTTATTGCTTGTTCTTACTTTGCTTACAGTTTGTTTGCATCCAGGTTACACTAGGCTCACTGGTAAATCATACTGAATTTGTGATCTTCACTTAATTAACGGATTCGTTAATATGTAGTTTGCTATCAGTTTATAAAATTTGACAGCGTAATTTTTTTGATATTATGCAGGTCCCAATGAGGTGTTTTAATCAGGTTCAAAATGTGCATGAACTGGGCCTTATTTGGCTAAGCTCTTGAACAGACTGTCATGTTAGTGGAATAAAGGAATGGGCTATATATTTTAAGCGGGGAGAAAATGAATAATTCAACATTGAGGGTCAACTCATCCTGCCAAGAAAAACCTACTGAAAAGGAAGTACACTGAGTTATAGTTATTTGCATTGTAGATAATAATATCAATTAAAGTTCCCAGCTGGAATCAAGCCTCCATATTTTGGCTTCTGTACAGCCGCGGAATTCCAGTCACAACAAGTTTCAGCCAAGTAAAGACAAAGCTCAATTAGCAAAACAACACAAATTTGCAGAACCATGTGCTTGAACAATAAGAGACTGATGTTTGGACATAGTTACATATGTCAGTTCAGTGACAATTAGCAGCTCTAATCATTTATAGTTAATGCCATTTTGCAAACACAAAGTTTTAACCCTTCCCAAAAGCTCTATCAAAGAAAATCACTTGTTGGGCCCACTAGAAACCATATGTATGCAGGTTTGAGTTTCTGGTCTAAGTGAAATTGCCAGTCCTCTAGGCTTTGTTCTAAATGTTGTACTATCAGCTTATTGTAAAAGCCACAGATTTTGAATGCAGTTATTTAGGGAAAACAACATTTTTCTTAGGAAAAAGAAAAAACACAAGAGAGAGGTGTGAGTAGCAAGGAGCACATGCTGGCAAATGCTGAGGTAAAAGGGAATCAGACTGGCTTGAGGCAAAGGCAAATCAGGCTGCTGCTATGCCAGACTGATGGGGTGGCAGAGATCTCTGAAAGCCAGACTTACACTGCTGTTGTCCCAGCAAAATATTGGAGGGTCTAGGGTAGCAGTAATGTCAAAAGGGTTGACAGAACCACCTCCACACCTTCTGTGACAACAGGAGTAGCAATCTTGCCTTTCTGATCTTCTACTCTACTTGCCTTTTCCTAATTTCCTTCTAGTTTCCCTGTGTTTTGTCTTTTACCACACTTCTTCTTCCTCCATAGAAGTAGCTTTGGTCCCACCCACTTAGGGTTGCAAAATTCATGTTTGCCAACAGAACAGAAAAGCTTCATGCAGTTTGCTGTCCCAAATGATGAGACTAACTTTTCTATACGATTGAGTAGAGAGGCCCTCACAGAATTTATAAGGCACAGAGCTGGCTGCAAACCAGCAGCCTTCCTTCTGTAAATGAAAACATTGAGGGAAGACACCAACCTCCCTGGTGAGACATAAAGCATTCTTACATGCTACTGATCTCCATGGCAATGGCAAAGGTCTTGGCACTTCTTGTTCTATTGCTTGGTAGAAATAATCTTCATATACTTCTAATGGCTCTGATGGTCCAGCCATCCCACACAGAGTCCTCAGGTCCTGTAAGAACCCAAGAATATGTCACTAATGGGATGAGGAATGTACAGAAAAAACAAAGAGAGAAGTAACTTCAGTTGTTCCTGTGGAAGTACATAGAACTGGGGTCGGTTCTCTGAAGTAGTTAGTCTTGACTTCATCTTTGCAAAACTTTTTTTACAATTTAATTTAATTTTTATTTTATTTTATTTTATTTTATTTTATTTTATTTTATTTTATTTTATTTTATTTTATTTTATTTTATTTTATTTTATTTTATTTTATTTTATTTCAAACCCAGCAAATTCTAAAAGGTCTCATCAGTGGAGTAGACAGAGGCTTTCTGCCTTCTTGTGTCACCTGTCCTTGCCCATTGCACAGTGTGCTGGTTTTCACCATGCTGATTCTTTTTCACACGCCCTGTGTTGCTGACACCTGCAAAAGCCACTTTTCTAGGACAATAATCCATGATGTAATCACAGTGGACTGTCATTTTAATAACCAATTGACAGAGGAATACCTCTCAATTACCTGAAGAGAAATACCTGAAGAGAAACACCTCTTCATGCCTTCCTTTCTAGCTCATAGAAGAAGACATAGTCTTCTCTTCAACTTCCCAACTTTTAAGAAGAGGAAACTTTTTTTCTTCTCTTACCTAAAGAGAGGCCACTTCTCCTTTCCCAGCCATCCATAAAGGTGACCTTTTTTTGTCTCCCATTAAGGCAACCTTTGGCAGACAGATGATCCTGGCTATCTCATCCCTCTTGGGGGAATCACAAATGCTCCCCATTTCAGATTACATCTCAAGGCTTCAGCTTTCCTGCTTAGCAGCAGGGTTAACTCAACAGGCCCAACTGGATTTGGCACATACACACCCTTTATCTCTGTTGTGACAGCAGTTAATTAAAGTGACTCAGAAAAGAGCTTCTCCAAAACAAAGTTATGTTTATTTGCCAAAGATGTACCCAAAGAAGTGGCCTAAACAGCAAAGAGCCATAGCTTAGCTTGACCTGCCTGTAGGTTAGGCTGTGCCCTGGATTGGTGTAGTTACCTGCTACAGCACCTGACTGCCCAGAGCTCCTCTCTGGTCACTGTTAGTGGCAGCTCATCCCTCCTCCTTGCCTAGCCAGCACCTTTAACCTGTGAAGTCCTCTGTGATGTCAGCTCTTGGCCTGAGAGGATCAAGCCTGGAGTAGACCTCTTTCCTTCAGAGGCACCATCTTTCTTACTTCCTTTCCATTAAGAGTTTAATTGATTTTATTTTGGCTGGTTTGTATCTCACCAAGACTAAGATATTAGTGATGGGCAAAGCCCTAAATCTGGGTAATTGCCTGCCACAATTTTGGCCATCATAATTAAGCATAGGAACTGAAAACGAGCATCCCATCTTTGATCAGGAAGATGTTGTGCCATTCCTAATCATTGCACAAATAAAACTAATCATAGCACAAAAATTGCAGTTGCTTAAATAAAACATACCATTTCCTCCACATGAAGAAATTAGGTCTGCAGACTCATGAAGATATTGCTGAAACTGCTTTGATGATTGTAACTTCCACACATGCGAAGCAAGCAGGTCAGAGACTGTGGCTCAAAATAAACAGGCCTGAGCTGGGGGAAAAAAAAAGAAAAAAAAAGAAGAGCTTCCTTAAGTTCCTCTTGCAATGCTTACCTTGTAAAGCTTTGGGACAGAAACTTGTAGGACCAACCCTTAGAAACATTTCTGAATTTATAAAAGAAAACAGTAAGTCTTGAAGTCTTGTGCTGAGGTCCCAAGAAAAATTTTATGTTTTACAAATGATTGATGCATGCTAACGAAATAATAAGTCATTAAGGAACTGTTTTGTTCATTAAGGAACTGCTTTCTTCTTCCTTCCCTTACATAGTTTCCTTGGATATTTGGCTCATAAATTTGTGGAGGGAATGCTTCACCCATATTAAGAAACTTACTTCATTTATTAAAAGGCAAAACACGATTTTTTTTTTAAAGCAATTGCCTTTTCATTCTTTTTATTGCTCTTGGCATGTTTTTATTGCTTACACTTAAAGTTTTCAAGCATTAATGTCAGACTACGAAAATAAATATTCTTTTTATATTCCAGTAGTTTAAAATATGCAGTTTATTTATTTCCTTTTCATTTTTGGTTTGGTTTTTTTTCATTATTCAGTTTTGGCACTGAGTGCATGAAAACCTTTATTCAAATGTCTCAGGCATTTTAGTGCTCCTGACATAGTTATATAGAGAGAGCATGATTCTGTATGCTCACTATTAAAATAAAGGTTGGTATTTGTGACATTCACAGCACTATTTTTCTCAAGTTGTGACAATAGGAATGCTTGAATAATGATTTTATTTTTGGTCATACTTTCACCCCTGGTCCTTTAAAAGTATGTATTGAGGTAATAGGGGATACTCAGACCCTCCTAGAGCCCCTGTGGCAATTAAAACCACTGGGGACATAGCAACACTCCAAGAACAGATAAGTTTAAGAATTAAAAAAACATTATGTAATAATAATTTTTGGCTGTGAAAGAGATTGCATACATTGACTTGTAGACAATTATTGCTGTATACCAGCTTTACTGTGCCTGGTTTGAACCCCAGAGCAGGGTTTGGTCATGGGGCAATGGAGCACATCGCAGGATCACAGGTTAATTTCAGCTTGAGTTTCTAAAGCAAGGCTTTAAGTAATTAGCTTCTTGGAACCGAAGTTTGTAGGTTTTGGAAAGCAATGTTTTAATCTATTTTTTACAGCTTGCTCTGCTACTAAATTGTAACTAAAGTTTGTACCCTAAGGGAACACTGTTGAATATTAGCTCCTGATTGCCCTCTAGTTCTAAAGAAATTACCTTTTAATACTACTGTTTTTGCTGTTGTTCAGGAATCTGCTGGGTTTTATGAAGTAATGTCATTTGTCTGAGAAGAAAATAATTCTTACCTGAAATTTGGCATGGAAAGTGCTTGACTTGGAACACTATGATTTTTAGGTATGGACTTTATTTTCATGCTGACTTTTCTAAAAAGAAGAAAATAATAACAGAAATAACAAATAAAACCATTATTTATATTAGACTTTATAAGAAATACCTTTTCTAGGAATTAAACACAGAATTGAAAGTTGCTCTATATGGTGATCAACAAAGACTGATTCTTCAAGGACCCTCAAAAAGAAGAAAAAGAAGTGAAGCAGATGTTTTTAATTCCTTAACTAACATTTTAGGTACAAATTATCAAAATTAGCTATTTACAAATTATCAAAATTATCTTTTTGACAGAGAAAGAAGATGCCCTTCCTCAGTATCTTGTGATGTGCAAAGTTTCATGTCAGATCAGCTCCCCAGCACAGGTCAGCAAACAGCATGAATTGTTCTCTGCAAGTAGGTCAGATCCAGGTAAGTTCATAGACTTGCTACATTTTAAAAACACCTAACAGTGAAATAAGGAATACATTTCTGCATGAGAAGTCCTGATCTCCATTTTCTTCTTCCCTATTTGTCAATAATTTGGGTTGCCTGATTTTCTAAACATTATCTCCAAACCTGCAGCAAAGCTGTTGGGATTTAAGCACTTTGGACATCTATAGAGATGTCTAGACTTCTGTTAAATTCCTCTCTACCATGGGCGTCATGGGGAGCAAAATGGGAGACATGAAGTAGCAAATCAAGCTCTTCTCAAATATTCTTCATAGTTTTTAGTGATGAGAGTTGCTCAGTTTTTGTCCATGCTTGTACGTTCATGTGTCTGTATATATGTGTACATTAGATATTATTTACATATTAAATACTTCCCACTTTGCTGTGATGTGCAGCTCCAAATCAGCATGGCACAGAATTTTTCTTTCAGAATTTATTGATGGTCTAAAACGATTATTGGAAATTGGAGGATGATGCCATTTTCCTGATCTTTACAAATGTCCTTTGCAGTCTGCAGTGGATTAAATTTCTTATGGTTGTGGCTGATAGCTAAATGCTATGCTTAATCACTAAATATTAATTTATATGGCAGGCAGTAACAGCTTTAAAAAGGTTTCCTTCCCTTCTTATGACAGGAAACTTCTTTGTCAATTGCTTTAAATAATATTTCTAAAACAGTAAAATAAATAAAATAAATAAAACATTAAGCAAAACATCATCTTTGCAATAGTAGACCTAGCAGTTAAACTTAGCAAATGCTTCTCATGAATTTTTTCTGTTTGCCAGTTTCAAAGTTTCTTTCTATCAGATACCACTGGGACAACATCTCAGGGACATTTCAGTTTTTGATTTGTTTGTTTGTTTATTTATTTACTTCTTTTCTGTTTACTGGAAAAAATACAGTGAAATCTGTTTTGCAGGAATATAATTTAAAGGAAGTATTTTTTTCCTTATCACTTCAGAGATAAACCAATTTTAATTTTTCATTATTATTTTTAAGGTACACTCTAATCAGAAGATGTATGTTTAGAGATTAGTTATGTGACAGAGTTGCATAAACTGGTTAGTTTTACTCATCTTTCAGTAAAGGTTTGTCAGAACTGGCATATATGAGCTGCTGTTCATTGTCTCGGAAGGGTTATGAGAAATATTTTTCTAGCAAATTGCATTCACTGCTAGTGTAAGGATTATGCCAGAAATAGCTTCCCCCTTCCTCTCCCACCCCTCACTGGAAAATTCCTCCACTGTACCAGTACTGTTAGCACTGGATGCAGTAACAGACCAAGTTCAGATGATTTCTAGTGCTTGACTTAGAGCACTGCTAATATGTTGTGTAGACAGGCAACTCAACACTGGCAAACAATTCTTCTTTTATGCCTGTTAAGTAACAGAATTACGTGTTGGAAGTATATCCATGTTGTAATGATCTAAGTCTGGTTAGGCTTCAATACATCATTTTTCAGTGATGGAATTTATAGCATTTTAGATATTGATCCAGCCTGGTTAGAAAAGAAAGAGTGAGATTTTGCATCTTCATTTAGTGCCTGGCCTGTGCATCTCTTGTGTGGCATAGCTCCAAAGCCATGCTTATGTCACTCACTTAGGTGAGGATCCTGACTTGTAAGGGAAGAATTTGGGACATACTACAAACTTTGCAATATATAAAACTTATTTCTGATCTTGTAGTGTTCTTAAATTTTGATTAATGAGATTACTGATTATTAACTGCAGAAATCCCTTACCATAAGATTAGTTAACTAACTGAAATGTAGGGAAACATTTGCAGGGCAGGGAGAGTGGCTGGGCTGTGTCTGGGAAGCTCTAATGAAATGGCCTTCCTACAGCTCCATCTCTAGGGCACATGGGTTTCCCTACTCTTCAGGCATCCCACACAACACAGAGGAAATATTTCCATTTCCAGGGAACTGATATGCCCCATTATTTCTGTTACCAGATGTGACATTTGTGGGATTTAGCCATGTGCTACAGTACAGTTTGTTCTGTAAACGTTTTGTTTCTAGGGTTCAACATTATTGACAGAGCGTGTTTATGCGTTGCTGGCTTTATGGAAGCTTGAAAATATATTACAAAAGACATGTCACAAGCTTTACAAAATACTTAAGTGCATTATTGTTATTATTATTAGTGCACTAGCACTGTCCCTGTCCCTGTCTGCAGTTGAACTATGTCAAGTGATGGTGAGGAACGCCAAAGGCCTGAGAGGACTCAGAGAGCTCTCAGCTGCTGAGCGGCTCCAAGCTGTCCCCCAGAGGGAAGGAGTCTGGCTTTGTGCTGATGATAGGACTGTGCTGTCAGGAGAAACTTGGTTTCTGAAAGCCTTTTTTTAAAACTAAAATCTATTGTAATTTGTGACTCGTTGGTTTACCATGGAGACAAGTGTCAGCCAAAGGATGTTGGAATGGAACACCACCCTCACACCACAATTTGTCCTGTACCTTTATTTGCAAAGATGTATTGAGGAGCATATATGGACACCTGCAAATCCTAGAGGGACAATGAAAAATGCAGTGAGTCAGACTTACTTGTGCTATAGTGGAACTTGGAGACTCCAGGCATTGGGTATTGCCAATTTTATGATACTCACTCCTTTTGTCAATGTGCTGGTGCACAAAGAGGTATTTCCCATGGTTGAGTGAGGCACTAAGTTCTGTGAGGAAGAGCAGGACATTGTGGGAAAATATATGCCATGTCACATACCTAATGCTTGCCAAGTCTGAGGTAATAGTTATGCCTAAGATAACAGCAGCTAACAAAGTGGAAGTAGGTAGAGCATGCAAAATATTCATTATGCCCTGAGGCCACTGAACACTCCTGTGACTAGATATGCCCACCCTCAGATCAAGTAAGAATTAGAGGAAAGGTGTAGCTGGCACATGTATCAAAAAGGATAAAAACCCCAATCAAAACACAAAAAACTCCAGCCCTTAACCTACAGAGTTGAGAAACAAAGGAAAATAAAAATATCAAACTGAAACTCTTCCAAAAAGGACAGGTGTGTCAGTAGTTCCTGCTGAAGGGAGGTAAAATGTTGTTTACATTGCTACTCTTAAGCAAGACTTCACTTTGGCACCTCCCAGAGCATAAATATTGAGATTTTTAATGAAAGCAGCTGCAGGACATTTAATAATAAGGACAGTATCTTTGGATCGGAATATATTGACAGAGGCTATGTTAACCCTGTTAATGAAGTAATGTTGTTTTTCTGTTTCTCTACTCAACAGCAGGGTTTAGTAAGGCAGAAATATTTTAGGCTTTTGTCCTATGGGTAACTCCCTTCACATTCTGATCTCTTAAATGTATGCAAATAAGTAGTTGATATTGTGGGTCAAAATGTCCAGCCGAAAAATTTAGCAAAGATTGTTTGTAATTAGGTCCCCTATTTCACCAAAATGAGAAAATATGGAGGAATCTTCTCTAGAAAATAATGGCAACAAACTGGGTATTGTAATTACAGTAAGGGGTCCAGTTAATCAAGTATAAAAAACTTCTTGAGGAAAAACCTCTTAGGAAAGTGCTGAGAAGCTGGGATTTCATGCAGTGGATGCTACAGGAGACCACATTTTTAAATGGACAAATATTGTGAACTTGTAAAAGCAGAGAAATTAATTTCTGTGCATCTTCATCCACTTTTTGAAAGGTGAAATGCCCAGAATAATAATATGGAAAAGAGTTCATACATGAAGCTATTTGGGATAGTTACCAATACTGTAGTTGAATTCTACCAAGTTGCTTACAGAACCTGCTGTCCCAACCAGTCTCAGCCCATCCTTGTCCCCAGTGAGGAGTCCAACGCCTGGGGCTGTGACTGGAGCTGCTCTGCTGCCTGTGGATGCTTGCTCCTGGCTGGGTAAATGGGATGGGTCCTGGCTGCTGGGTCCTGCCTGGCTGTCCCCATGGGAGCTGCCACAGTCCTGGACACCCCCTCTTGTGAAACACACTGGTGTCAGGCTAGTGTTACCTTTGTTATGTAGGAAGGGAACAAACAAGGTAACCCAGCACAAGCTACCAGAAATGTCCAAGAGAAATGAAAACTCAGTGTATTCGCAGCCCAATGCACCTAGGCAGATATCTCCATTACTTGTAGCCCAAGAGCCATTCCTTAGGCAATAATGATGCTCCCAATTTTCCTCTAGTAATAAGTAGGGAAATATTTTGGAGTACTTGAGAATGTATGAAACTGGAATTTTATTCAGCTACTTGTATCAATTCTTGAGGTAATGGACTGCTTGTGCTGACCTTTCTGTATGCCAAATCAGTTGCCAGTGATGAACAGGGAATGAGCGCTCCCTTGCTCACACACATCACTACACAGCTGGCATTAGCAGGGCAGAAGAGGACTTGACTTCATCTAAAGCAGATCACACAGATCCCAAAAGAGATTGACAAATGTAAATATTAGGCAGGGAGGACCAGAGACTGCACCTACTGCAGGACAGCCCAATTTTTTAATCAAATAATGCGTACCCACCTCATAGGGAAAAAATAGACTACATCAGCTAAACTAACACTGAAATCAAAGAGCAGCTCTTGCTTGGTTATGTGTCCTGTAGTCATGGCATAGGCATTGTTAAATGGAAGCTCCCTGATGAGCATGATCTACATATCAGTAAAAAAGTGATATAACAGAATTTTGTTTTCCTTAAAAAATACAGGTTAATATCGTTTTTAAGCCAAGGGCATGAAATGGATGGAACATTTTAAACTCAGTGCTTCCAAATTCAATACAACTATTGTCTTTTTTTTTTTTTTTTTTTTTTTTTTTTTTTTTGGCTGTATTCCTCAATGGCCTTCTAAAGCTTTTGGACTATTTCAGCCACTTTGAAAAAAGGTATAAAGACCTCAGAGACATGAAACTTCCACACACTTAAGGAAAGCCAGTGTTTGGAGAGTGGAATATGACTGAGAGGGGTTTCCCTGGTGAGGAAAAGCCTGGAGTATAAGGGTATCTATTGGCAAACAGTGATGGGGGCAGGGGCTGGCTACACAGAGACAATGCACAGCCAGACATGGCACCTCCTGCCTCTCCACAGTTATTAGTGACAAAAGGTGTGGAAGCTGATGTCTTTCTTAGTTGTGGGGATGTTAAATTTTAATGGAAAGAGTAAGCTTTAAAAAGTCTTGGAAAAATACAAATTTAAATGGAAAAAAATGATTTGGCAGTTTTCTCTTCATGGAATCATTACTTGTTGGTATTTAAAATTATCACAGCACAGGATTAATAAAAAATTCTCTATCTGATAGCATAGCACATTATCATGCTAAGTCACCATGATGCCTTAGTAAGCAAAAAAAGTATTTTTCGAAAGACTGGAGGATTCAGAGGACCGTAATTCACACGGCCTGAAATACAGCTCAATTTCTTTCTGAAAGGAGCCTTTCTCACAAGATTCCTGGCACCTCTTGGGTACATCTGGATCAGAAATAAAATACAAATAGCCTCTATTTGAATTCAGTGTTCCTTCTCTGGCCACAATGTCAATTAAGAAGTCAGCAAGGGTGTGTACGTGTGTGGGTAGATAAATGAATAAGTAAGATCACTTGAGTTATTCCCATAGATTTAACTGCTACCTTTGTGATGATGACTCTAAAAATCTATTTCCAGCCTCTCCCACTTTCTTATATAATACCAGACGTGTCATTGGTGTCTTCCTCAATCAAATCTTCCTTATCTTATTCTTCCCTGGGCTCCTGCCAGGTCACATAGCTTTATAAAAGCCCTGAAATCCATTCCCACAGCCACCGATCTGATTCATCCTGTGACTCGTTTTTATCTCAGCTGTTGCAGGTTCTTTGTTTCTATTTGCAGTCTGTAAAGCCTACACTTGCACAACTAGTCATGTTAGTTATAGGAACTAGTATCATCCCATCATTTCACTGACAGATAAAAAAGGAACTGAGTGAAATAAATTTGCTGGTTTATTGTTTTTTCACCTTTGAGAATCTAGTCAGTTTTATTCATTCTGATTTTCTTAAATAATGCAGCTCAGAGGGTCAGAAAATGAACACCCTTATTTGGCCTCTTCATATTTTTATAATAGCTGGTCAACTGTGGGAAAGTCTAATTTACTTCCCATCTGATGGCAGTGCCCCTTGGGGCTCTAGATACCACATTGAGTGGCAGAGGATGGAAGACAGGATTCAGGGGTGCTGTGCTTGATAGTATATTTCTATAAGGAACAAATAGATTTTCATTTATTCCCAACCTCCAGCTATCTAATAACTCTCTTTTTTTCCCTTGCTGGGCATCCACAAAGGGAAAGCATATGCACTCAGATCATCCTAACTGAAGTGATACATCCTCATGTCCAACAGAGAGTCTTCTGTCTGTTTCTTTAGGTGGTATGGGAATGGCTTTCAAAAGGGTTACTATTCATAACACAGTATTTGCTGAAGATGCTGATGAAGACCCTATTGTGTTCAGCAGTGTTCATATTTCCACTATCTCTAACAAACTTGACAAATCAGACAAAAACAAAAGGAGCTGAAGGGCACTGCTGAGTCAAGTATACGTCATGGTTGGCAGTCCTGATGAGGGAAACTGTGATCACACAAATCTCAGTTCCTGGCTTTTTCCACTGGCTCAGTATCATTGATAGACACTATGGTCTACAAATCCCCTTTAAAAAAAGAGAGAGAGAGAGAAAGAAAATGCATTTCAAAACAAGCCCATAATAAGCCCAAAACAAGCCCACTTTCTAAGCTTGTCCTTCCAATTGTCCTGTTACACTTGTAGGGTTAAAAGAAAAGAAAAAAAAATTACTACAGAAACAGATACATCATGTTATTTGCATTCAGATGATGATTTTTGGGTAGGGCTCAGGAAATAGACCTCAACTGCCAGGCTGTGAATGCATCTTTTTTTTTTTTTCCCCTTGCCTATTTCCTGCAGGAGAACCCAGGGAGCAGGATAGCAAACTGCAGAGTGTGCAGACCTTGGACTCAAGCGTGGCACTCCCAAGCTAAGCTGCTTGCCGTTTTTATCTGGAAGTGTCTCATTGCTCTGAAAGGGTTATAGTCCTCTGCAGTCACTGAACCCAAAGACTTGGCTTGGCTGCAGATCAAGCGCGTGAAGAACGTGTGACCTTCTCAACACAGAAAACCTTTGTCATGAAATGAACTCAAGTACCAACAGAGAGATTTGTACTGGGAATAACCAGTGCCTCTCTCCTTCTTCTGTGAAGAGATGCATAGTTCAGCCAGTGCTTCTCACAGGCAGTTGTTACTTTGTTAAACTAAATTTTCCTGGGCTCTTCCTGAGTCCTTGGGTTAAACAGTTATCACCACAGAAAGAGAGGACACTCAACTGTTCCCACACATGGAACTAAGGGAGGAATTAGTTGTTTCCTATTATCTGCTTCCAAAGGCAGGCTCTCCCATCACTGAATGAGACAAGAAACAATGTTATAACCTCATAATTTGGAAGGGTAAGAGCATAAACCTTACTATTTGGATCATCCTCTCTTACCCCTCCAATGTGACTGCAGACATGTGGATGCTGTTTACTTCCTCTCTAATGAGACAGGTTCTGCAAAGGAGAACTTCAGTGCTATAAAAATATTGACCTGGAAAAGGCCTGTCTGAAAATCTTCTATATGAAATTCTAAAGCCTGGTTACAAACATTAATGTAAAGTGTTTCACAACTTTCTTGTCAGACAGGTAATTGTTGTTATCACCATTTCATGTCTTGCATGAACTGGGACAAAGACTATGTGAGTTGCTCAAAGTGACAGAGATGAGAACAGCATCCAGCTCCCAAAGCTAAGAATACATAAGGCATGGCAGATCCCCACTCCATTTAATTTCATGAACAAAGCATATTAATGTACAGATGAATAGTACAAAAATCAGTTTTGATCTGTGTGGTGACATGGATAACATGATTTTCAGCAGGAATTGTATGAGAGCTGCTTCAGAGAAGCCACAGCCGATACAATGGGTGATGTGTCTTGTGCAGTGCCCTTGTGTAAGTGGGGACACTGAGACACTGGGCTTCTATTTCTGTGTTCTGTGCTGATCTGGTGAAAGCCAGTGCTTAGCTGTACAAGGGTACACTAGCCTAGCTATTGCTTGAGCCTTACAATTGCTGGAAATATTAAAAACAAGTCTGTTTCCATGCTACTGACAAACTTGCTTGGGCTGGCACAGTCCTTTTTTCCTGTATATAGGAAAAGATAGCAAGGCATGGTTGGTTCACCCACACCTCAATTTCTTTGCAGCAGAAGTGAGCAGTGGTTCTATTCCCATGTAACAATCATCATGTTTACTTTGCCTAGAAAGAAATGGGTAAAGTTTCTTCAGATACTAGGCAAGTTGCAGCACGATGGATTAAAATGACAGCTTGTTCTACAAATCCTTAAGAATTAAGAACATTTATTTCTAAACACTAAATCCCAGCAAAAGGACAGGAGGATTTTGTTTTAGGCTTGGAGTAATATCACAGCTGATAGTAGAGACACCAAGTAAGATTACAGTGAACAAGGCTAGGAAAATTTATAAAAGCGTAATTCAATTTATTTCTTATTTAATTTATTTTTATTTTCTTTTGTTCAACAGGTTATTGCATTCCCATATATTTATAGTTAAGAGTAAAACATTAAGTTGTACCTTTATTTTTATTTCAAAAATACTTTATATTTTGTTTTGAGTTTATTAAGAAGTATATTATAGGTGGAAATGTCTAAATATTGCATCTACCTGCTATGTATTTTATTGTTATCAAATATGTGTTGTTCCAGAATAGCTGGTATATTAGGAAATTTCTCAACAGGCAGGAGAGAAAGGGCAATGAAACCTAATTGTGGAAACTTCTGGCTATGCATAGAGAGGCAGTGTGCCTGTAGCAGAAGTCCTCTTCTATGGCAATGTGGCATGACTGGGAGATTGCAACGTTCTAGACACACCACACTTACCCACGGTGTTTCATTTGCCTGCAAGCACTCTGATGTGATAGTGAAAGAATTCCAGTATCTCCAGCTGATGAGATTTCAGGTATGTTGCTGCACCAGCTTAGTCCATTTCTTAAGACTTTAATGTAACTCTGCAGCTTCTGTGTGCCCCTGCATGGTGTGATGTGACAGCATCCACAAAGCACGGAGGCAGATATTCAGTATTTAGCAGCTACTGTAAGTATCACCTGTCGGCAGGGAAGACATTACTTTTGCAAACCATATGTATCCCACAACCTGCTCTGTCACCTTCCTGCGGTTCTCACAGTTGTCCTGCTGTGTTTTACTTGGGAAAGAGGTGGCAGGAGGTAAATAACTTGGCAATGATTGATTTGCCAGAGGGGTTGTTCCGGGTGTTGAGGAATTGTTGCTCACACCCTTTGAGTGTCAACACTGATATACTTTAACGAGATTCTTGCACTTTGACAGTTTGTTTCTGAGATTAAGAGCTTTTTCAAATGATCACGATTATGCTTAGACTGTGAGAGAGATACATTCATGGCAGCTCAATGTCTTGGGTTTTTTGACTGTCCCAGTTGTCTATCACCGTTTTGCTGCTCATACTGTGGTGGTTATTACTACAGACACAGTTGTAAGTACTCTGAAGTAGGCCATTGCAGGAAATATTACATTCCCACGCTGTACAGACACTCCTCTATCAGATGGCTCCAGAGGGATACAGTCCCTCCTCCACCTGTGTTGGTGCTTGTCCCGTGCAGTTGCTTTTGTGCATCTCTACCACTCCTACTGTACACAGATCAACCAGTCCTCTTTGCACAAATAACCAGGCATCATCAAATTATTTTGGCTAAATCAGCTATGCTTTTATATTTCTCATGGAGACTACTGAAAATCCCTAAGACTTACAAAGGCAAAACTGGGATGGAGCAACCGAGCCTCGTTCTGTGAATGTCAACAGATATGTCTTCCAAATAGAGATGGAGCCTCTCTGCTGCACAGAAGTACCATTCTGGCCTTTAAACACAAAGCAGTTACGGGGCTGGATGTTCTTCCCTGTCTTCCTGTAGATCAGCGTGTTGACATTTCATAGGTGACATGAATTTTCCATGTGACTTCTATTTAGTCACTTCCATGTGACTAAAACCTGCCTGCATACAACTGTGTCAACGTTATCAACTCTCAGAGCCATTATTATGCTCTAAAATGCTTGCAACTGTGAAAACCCACAGACAGATGTTTCCTAGTGAACAGTGTGTGCCGTGGCTACTTGCATGTGAACAGCAGAAATACGAACTTTTCAAAACAATACACATTTTGTGGTGGGGTTTCTCCAAACCACTTAGTGTCCCCACCAAAAGCAGTTTCCTGGCAGAACATAAGGGTACAGCAGCTGTTGAAGGGAAAAACAAGCCACCCTGTTGCTGGGGTGGTTTTGTATATCCTCAATAGACTTTTTTAAACTGCCCAAATTCACACTGCAAATTCACAAAAAAGGATCCTTCATATGAACTAGGTATGGGACATCACTGCATTTTTGGTGTCATTACTTCTGTATGCCAGGCTTCTTGTTTGGAAAGCTGAATGAAAAGTTACCCATCTGTTAGTCAGGTACATTTATCAGAGGTAAAGGTGCTTTTCTGAGTCCGTGCTTCCTTAGCAGAGTAAGCCTGACTTTGGAGGATTGCATGTATTCAGATCCCATTAAATAAACTAGAAATATTCATCACCTCAGCTTATTCTCTCTATAAAAGCAAAACAACCAGAAGTGGCAATTTCTGTCAAAGATGTATGTTTTTAAGAGAGAGTTTTTGTTTGTGTGCCAGTAGGAACATAAATATATTATTACTACATAAAAGAACTTTAGAATTAATTTCACTCGCCATTAATTGTGTTCCTTGCCCATATGTTTGTCTTAGTGCCTGTATTTGTCTCACAAGTTTAACAAAGTCAATGTACAACATGGGATGCTTCACAGCATTTTCCAGCATTTTCCTATTATTAATTCATTTTCTTTTCATATGGTAAACAGGAGAAGACATACACCATGTAGATACTATGATGTTCTAAAATGCTGGCTGAAAGCATTCCTTTACATATACCAAAATTTGACATATTTCTTTGGTTCTGCTTCGAATAGAAAGACTTTGGATTTTTTTTCATAAGAAGTGAAAGACATGCATTTGTCTTCTGTATTCTAGGAGGCACATAATAAGGAAAATAGATTAAAAAATAATCATTATGCTTCCAAGTCTATTTAGTATGTGTGCACTTTGATGCATTTTATTCAGTTTTATATTTTGTTTTACTACTTGCTTTCCAGAACAAAGAAACACACCAAAATCCAAGCCAAAGAAATAGCGTGTGAGAGTGTGCATCTGCATACAATAATTTATATACTGACTACATTACATACTAACATGAACCACCTAGCAAGCAGTGCTCCCCTGCTTCATTACACTGTGCACAGAAAAATTGAGCTTTATGCTAGAGATCTTGTTGTATTCACTGCCATTTGAATCTTATACCTCTTTCATTGTTCTGCTCATCTCAATTTAAAATGCAGTCCTGATTTTGATCTCAGAGTACTATAAATCCAAAATAAGTCTAACAGCTTCAAAGAAGTTTATTTCTGCTTTACATAGTTATAACTAAGATAAAAATCTGGCCCATAGGCACATTCATTTTATAGCAAGTTAAAACATGTGCCCTTACTGTTGGCAAATCCTCAAGATTAACAGACATACACGTGTTGCTAGAATAGCAGCAGCTATGGAGCTGCTTTTCTTTTTATTTTTTTATTTTTTTTTGCATCCAGTACTATTTTTGGTTCCTTCCCCTTTGACACACATTCCTGGTAACAATTAAAAGTCCCTCTTCTTAGTACAAAATTAAAGCTGATAGCTGAACACTTTATCTGTCAAATATGTTTTCTGTATTGTATATCAAATACAGTAGATGCTGATTGCCATATGCAGAATAGAAATAGGAGGTCAGATTGTCCTTTTACTTACAGTGGTGTAAACCAGCTGAGTGAAAGACGGATAGAAAAATTATTCTGGAGATCTACTGATGTTTGGTAGCTTGGCTGTCAAAAGAAGTAAGTGATGCAGAAATAGGGATTGCTTGTGCTTTTGTGGGCTCTGAATGATCCCTGTCACTGCCTGTGGAAAGCCTTCTTGGAACAAAAAGCAGGGCACAAGATCATTCACATCTTTCCCCTCTTGAAGGAGCCAGAGCTGGCACTGCAGGACATTACACTGGAGGGTGTAATGCTACCTGCTGTAGGGGGCTGCTCCCATTGTCACACTGGGGTGACAGATCCTGCCTCCCCTTTGACACAGCTCTTGTCCTTGCAGGTTGAGATAGACTTGGTGTCTGCTCTGTCTGTGGACAGACGCTATGCCAGAGGTGTAAAGGAGAAATGGATGACCTTGTCCATCACAAATTCACACAGCCTTAATTCCCACGTGCTCTTGCTGACAGAAACTACTGAATGAACCAGCATCTAACTGATTTCCTCCAGAAAAGTATTCCAAAATTTTTGGAGTGAGTCTTGGAGGCTCAGGGCTCTTCTCTTTTCATATGACCGGGCCCTGCCCATGATATTTCCCAGGATGGTTTTAGGCTTACTCCCCAGATTTCAATTCCAGGTGCTGCAGCACAATGTTCTTAGTGGAAAGTCCCTGGGATGCTAACTTGTTTCCTCTTTTTTACCACTGGGGTCCAAATTTTCTGACTTCCAGTGAGCACAGCCAGAAATACTTATTTAATTTAGCATTCCTTATGTCAGCATTCCTGGAAAAATTCCAGGAATTTATTATATCAGTCAGTGGGGTGGGCAGATGCTGGCACGGGCCAGGGCTTTTGCCACTGTTCTTTATCTGTGCGCTTTGCCTACACTTGGCATTATGATAATGGGGGCAAATA